AATATTCTGACAAAGACAAATATCAGATACTGATTTTAATGTCAGACTGTCCTTAATAATAATAAATACATGTTTTATCAGTGCGTTGTTCCCATATGCATTTTTAAGTTTACCAATTGATAAAACTTAAAACCCACAAGAGATCAGACCCCTGGGGGTCCTGGGACTTCAGTTTGAGAACCTTTGAGGATTCTCATAGGCCTTTAAATTTATATTTTCTCATTTTATTTCATTTATTTTAGAGCAGATCTGAGCTGTGCTGCAACTGTTTAATGCAGAACAAAACCTTTTTAGATTTTAATTTTTTAACTTCAGTAAATTCTCTCATTCTAAACGCACATCTTTTAGTAGCAATACTTGATAAAATAAGTGCATTCCTATAATAAACGTAACGGTTCCATTTTAACCAGTATATCCAGTGTTACTGGGTCAGAATGAGCTCTACAGGCAGGACTTGGTGGCTCTGAAAAGAGCCTTTGGTTCTGAGKTCTGGAGGATCTACTTGGACTTGGCGGGTTTCTCGGTCTTCTTGGGCAGCAGGACGGCCTGGATGTTGGGCAGGACCCCTCCCTGAGCGATGGTCACTCCTCCCAGCAGCTTGTTCAGCTCCTCATCGTTCCKCACGGCCAGCTGCAGGTGGCGCGGGATGATGCGGGTCTTCTTGTTGTCGCGAGCTGCGTTTCCCGCCAGCTCCAGGATCTCAGCGGTCAGGTACTCCAGCACCGCGGCCAGGTAGACCGGAGCTCCGGCACCGACACGCTCAGCGTAGTTCCCCTTCCTCAGCAGCCTGTGGACACGGCCCACCGGGAACTGTARTCCGGCTCTGGAGGAGCGGGTCTTSGCCTTGGCTCTGGCTTTACCGCCGGTCTTCCCGCGTCCAGACATGTTTCAGCTGAGAGTTTTAGTTAACTCTGTTAGAAGTGACGCGATGACGCTGACGCTTCAGTCTTAAAGGCCTCTGCTTCTCGCTGATTGGTCAGGCAAGTCGGCAGAATGATCCACCAATCAGGGAAGAGTATGTCGTGTTGCTGCGCTGAGGTGAGACTTCCGCTTTACAGTGACGGAGAATTTCACAATAAAGTGTCTGTAGACTCCAAATCATCCAGGATGTTGTCAAATAAACAAACAAACAAATAAACAAATAAATAAATAAACAAACAAATAAATAAATAGGG